GGGTTGACTTCGTGGCGTTCAACCTGCTCTTCTCGGACTTGATGAAGTCCTTTGTCACAATCTCCAGAAGCACGCTCACTCCCACATGAGGATAAGCAGTAGCAAGATGATTGGTACTGATGTTCTTCTCTCCCAGGACCTCGATGAAGATCAAAGACCTCACTTGGTCGTTGTCGTTCATACTGGGCCACGCACGCCTTGAACATAGACATTGTGACCTTCCTCTCGCCGAGGATGGTCTTGATCTTCGCAGCGTAGGACCTGCTCGTGTCCCCCGCGAGGGTCAAGACGTCCGACTTGATCTTGGGCGTGGAGGCGAACAAAACCTTGGACATGAAGTCCAAAAACCCGACGGGCATTAGCGTCTCCGTCCAGTGCTCTCCAACGACGTCGACTTCCTCTGTTTCTTCTTCGAATCGTTCTCCTTCCTCGCCCTGGTCTGTCACCTTGCCTTGCGTCGCTTGTCGCCTCTCACGCCACCGCGCTCGGTCGGCGCGCGCTTGCACGAGGCTGGCGAGCCCCCTCCACCGCACCAAGAAGGGTCGGCCCGCCGGCGCCACAGGGAGGCGGGTGGTCTTGTCGGTCGCCGCCGCCTGCTGCCGCCTCTAAGCGGTTTGAGCGTTTTAGGGCTTAGGGTCTTTAGGGTTGAGGTGCTTGATTTTGACAACTTGGTCTAAGACTTTTCTGGTTTAGGCTCAGAGTTTGTCAGGGCTTAGGTTTCGGGTTTTTAGGGTTTAGGTTCAAGGCGCTTAGGGTTTGGCTTAGCTTACTCAACAGGGAAAGAAACCAGGCGAACCAGAAACCGGAACCCGGACCGGCGCGCGCGACCAAACCGTGTTTTTCAGAAGCCTCCGTTGCGAGTTCTGAGACACTCGGGGGTGGCTGCCCAAAGGATAGACACAATGCGAGAGTTGGTACAAGAGCTACACGTCCGCAACGGCTGGTTCTAAATCGATATACTGTTTGCTCAACGAACATGCGAGATTTCGAGTTCCAACACGCTACCCTCCACGCACGAGGGATCGTGCACACCGATACCAGGGGGTCTAAACCAAAATCAGTCACGGCTGATAACCACTCAACAGGGAAACCAAGCAGGGCAGAAACCGGTGCGCATGATCAAACCCTGTTTTTGAACCGGGGTACATAGTGCTTGAGCCCACCGGACATTGCCGCAGGCGAATATCAAACTTGTCATGCAACGCAAAAGGCGGTGCGGGGTCGTGAGGTTGAGGGCGTTTGGGTTAGGTATAGGGATTTAGGGTTGAGGCTCAGGATTTTTAGGGTTTAGGTTGTGTATTTTTGGTTTCAAATCTCAGGTTGAGGATTGTTAAGGTTTGGGGAAACAAGGTCGGGTTGGATCCCTCCAAAACCCCAAAACACTGTCCCTATGCAGCATTTTGCCCTCACTTCCCGCAAGCACAATTCCCGCAGAGGGGTTCACTTTCGGTAGCTGAGTTTGCAAGTTGGGCCACCAGGACAATAGTTGGAAGTTGGAGCTCAGCCCAAAGCCCAAAAACACTGGTACTGCGCGGTAATTTGCATGTGTGGTAACCCGCCCTGAGGTGGATTGGCCGTAGCACTAGGAGTGTTGCCGAGAAAAGGACTGACTATACAAAGCCGAGGCAAAAGAGCGGCCTAGTCACACAACCACGCACACTCCTCACCACCTTCGCCTCTCACGTGCGCTCACAACCGTGCTGACAACGACGAGGACGCGAATCCTATCAAAACTGCGGACACCATCGCAAAACGGCGCAGGGCACAAAATCATACCCTGTGATCGCTGATCAGGCAGAAGCATAGCGAAAGAAATGGGCCTGAGTCCGCAAACAACCCTTCCAAGTGCAGCCTGTGGCCCAGGCAGCCACTTCGAAGATTGTTTCTCGACTGAAACTCAAACGGTGTTGGACCATCACAAAGTAGCCTGATCTGTATCTGAGCTATCTTTCCTCTTTCGTTTGAGATTGGACGGGCAGCTGGAGAAGCCGCCCCCGCAGCCGTCTTCGTTGTTGGGCTTGGCGCAGGATGTCACGAATCCGCGGCTCAGCTGCGCTCGGGGCCCACTGAAGGTTCCGTTGGTGGCGATGCAAAGGCGGCTGTCCACGGCCGAGGTCGCCGCAAAAGCCCAGCACGACCCGCATTGGCCTTTCTTTGTTTATTTCGAAAAAAGAAAGACTGAGCGCATGCACGAAACTACAATCCCAATCTGGGCTTTGCATCCGCTGTCAACACCCAATGCGTAGGCGTGCTACAGGTCTCTACAATGCTAACTTCAGGCCAGGTGTCCCTGGTTGTGAATACGCCCAATAATCTCCGCACATTGGGGCCACTCCGTGCGTGAATCAAAGCTCTCGGGCAGCGTACGAGTGAGCATGGTGTCGGTAATGGACTGCGTCTGCAGGAGAGAGGCCGTATGATTGCTTTCGTCATGCCTGCCAGGAGAATTCAATGCCCATGGCCTTCCCACTCCACTCTGTCCCTTGCGCATGTGCTTTGAATATGTGCCCTTCCTCTTGCCTGATGCCTGTCCGGCGCACCAGGTCAATTTGCGAGAAGTTCAGGAACCAGCCGGTGAAATCCAGGGTGAAGTTCCCCGCATGCTGTTGGAGGATGTGCATGAGCCTGGCTCGAGAATGCTTTGCAACCCGATGTGCGAAACTCGGGAGATACCCACGAGGCAGACCAAGGCCTGCTACCCTTCAAAGCCTTTCTGGAAACACACAAAATCTTGAGGCTTCTCTTTTGGCCTGGATGTGAGGAGGGGCTGCTCATCGCGCAGAGTCTGGATGAAGTCTTGGATAAATTCGTGCGCCTGCGCGCCTAGGCCGCAGCCAACTGACTGCAATGCCGCGCTCAGCCCCGAAACGTGAAAGCATGGGTTCGTCACCTGCATCTGTCATAGTGTCGATGGCGTGATGCTTGCACTGGATCTCCATTTCCTGCCATCGGAAGGACTGGCCACGAGCGAGGCCTTGCAAACGCGAGTGCGCCCGCTCTTAGGTCTGGTTGACCAAAAAAGCCCGCCTCCATGAACCTGTCAAAGAAGGCGTCCTGTTCAACCTCAGTGCAAGTCAGATCAAAACAAGCAGCGAAAGCAGGCACAGTGCCTGCAGTAGCTCATGCTCCAGCCCCGAGGAGGTCAAGAAGTGGTGGAAGCCCGACTCGGCATTCTCCATACATGTCTGCCCGCCCTGGAAGCTGCGGAAGAGGGAGCGGTCCATGGCACTCAAGTCCTATCGGAATCGCATTGACTGACGCGTGCCGGAGTCCCAGAATCCCGGAGTCCTGCTCCACCAGCAGCTTGGCACGGCTCCTGTGGACCTTGGCCTGTGCGAAGGACTCGTGGACCTTCTGTTCCAAGGCCGCGAAAGTCAGGCCTCGGATCAGCGAATGGGTCCGTGCAATGCAACGCTCCGACTCCACCCACGCCTTACGCCCTACGCGAATCCCCCTCTGGATTCCTCGAAGCGCGAAGCGCGAAGCCACTCGTATGGAGGGTTTGTCTTAAAGTTTAAGACTCACATGCGCAGACAGCATAGACTCATAGACATTGCCTGCAGAATCCCGAAAACCAGAAACCTGCCACTCCAAAAGCCATGCCCAGCGTGGCGCGCCTGCCCGACTGCCCGCATCGGCGTCGAGCTCGCTGCGCTTGGCGCTGCGCTGCAGCAGCTCAGCGCCACGCGCAGCGCAGCTTGGGTTCGATGGATCCGCCTGCGTGTCTGACACGCTATGCATGCCTATGCTTAAGCACTACACGCGCCGCATGTACAATAGAAAGTTGATGTATGTACGTACTTGCGTATGTATGTGTGCATGTATGTACGCATGCACTATGTAAAGTATATTATGTACCTGGACCCCTAAACGAGCACAAATTTGTGGCAAACCCTTCTTTCGAGCAGTTTTTGCGCATATGAGCACTTTTTCCGTATTCGAGCACTTTTTAGGAAAAAGACGAAATTCGAGCAGAAATCAGCTCCATGGGATTTAGATGCTTTGGAGCGTGTTCGGGCAACAAATGCGTGTTTAGTGGAAGCCTGACAAACCTGCACATGTTTGACGCGTTTTGGCATTTTGGGGGCAGATTGCAACCCGCAACCTCAAGCGCAATTTCCCGCAACTCGAGCGCAATTTTCCGCAACCGAGCGCAATTCCCAAAAGTGTCAGCGGGTCCGTTGTCCCGCGGCCAAAAGCGCGCAAAGATATCCAGGTGCTCGAATTTGAAGATACGCTGTCCACTGTGCACACATGTGACATATTGAGGCACGCTTGATGGGGTTGTGTGAGGTTTGGCGCCTCCAACATGCAATGATGCGCAAGCAAGGGCGCTCACTCGAGCACTTATTTGGCCTCGAGCGCATTTTTCCTAAACGAGCGCTTTTGGGAGAAACGGGCACGTTTCCCCTCGAGCGGAAATGTGTGCTTGTTTGGGGGTCCAGGTATGTATGTATTATGCGTGTTTATACTATGCTGTGTACGAATAGGCTAATTTAGTTCTCAGCTTTGTCGGCTGCCTGTGCTGCATCGGCTTCCCGAAGCTGAATCTAGCCACCGTCTTGTTTGGCCATTCTCCTTCCACAAGGTATCCATGTATCATTTGCTGCTTTGAACTTCAACCTCCGACATTGAATCATATGGAGTTGTTGGAACAAGTGCACATAATCTTGACAAAGACCTGATCTGCTTGGGCATAGGGATTGTGCACAAGGTTTGCTCAGATACTTCTTTCAATGCTCTGCGGAGCACAACCGCAGCGAGAGAAGGCAACAAAAAGCCCAGAAGCAGAAGCGTGTCTTGCCCTTTCTTGTGGAACAAGCCTCACAGTCGGCGGCTGCGGTAGAAAGGAGCAAGGTGAAGGTCAGCCGCAACATGGCTCGCAACGAAGTCATCCGATCTACTTTCTGACTTCTTGAGGCTAGCAGCGATGCATGCGCTTCCGCCTGAGCTCCTGCCACACCCAGCAGCGCGTTGCTCATGTGCCTCAAGGCCCCGACCACAGTGCCGCATGGACCTTGCAGCTAACAGGCCGTGCCGGTCAGAAAGAGCAAACGATGTGTGGTGCATGGCCGCTAAGCCGTCGCTTGACTCGAGCTTTGCAAGAGGCAAGCCCTGCACCTCTCCGCCAGGGGGTCGAAGGAAGGGCGGAGTCAACCCGTAGAGGAGCCTGGCACTCGAAACACGTTCGAAGAAGCTGATTGTTGCGACGCTCGGATGATGAGCAAGCACGCCCAGGTCGCATGGGATCCACGGGCAGCTTGGTCTTCAGCCTAGCTGCAATCCTTGCTTCGGTTCGCTCAACATGTTCCACACACCACATTTGCCAAGATTGCAAGCACACAACGTTTCATTCTAGCTAAACGAGTCAGGTACAAGTGAATGCACGTCATGGAGGGAACACCCTTTGCATCCGCTTGTCTCTGCCGCGGACATGGAAAGATTCGCAGCGCTGACCGATGAGTCCACTGCCTGCGCCCGAAGTGTTCTGCACTCGCAGCTTGCTGAGAGGTCAAATGTCGCGTCCAACGGGTACTCCGCACCTGCTCTAGCAACGAGGAGTAGGAGGCCACCAGGAAGACGACGCTGTCCCGCCACCTGGTGCAAGTTTCCAGTGATTCCAGAATGTGCCACAAGCTTAGCTCAAAGTGCCCCACCGCAGGCGCAGCACTCCCCAAAAGCCCCGCAAGACCTAGCACGTGAGGCTCTGGATCTCAAATTGAGGCAAAGCATTCTGACGGCGACAAATTCATCGCGGCCTGCGGCCAAAGGCCGAAGAAATTGGCCACCGCCTGTGCACTCGCTCCATCAGGCTGACACCCGGGTCGACGTCAGCTCAGTCCGACCCACTGGCCTTCCAAGTAGGATCCTGAACCCAACTCCACATCAGCCCAAAAGTGTGAACATCTATCGGGACCTTCTCATCGCGGCACCGGACGACCAGGCTGTGGGGTCCAGCCGTGTTGGCCCGGCCTCAAATTTGGCCGCACTTGGCCTTGAGCCTCTCGCTAAGCTTCGCCATGCGTGAAATCGCCTCAACTCTGTGGCACCCTGGCCATCTGCCAGCGGTCGCACGGAGGCCATGGGCCGAGCACGGCTCAAACCCTCTCCAGGCCAGTCAAAGAGGAAGAGCCTCACGCGCCACGTCGGACTTCCGCCAGAATGACTGGCATGTTTCAATGTCTCATGAAATGAGAAGCCCCTTCAAGTGGTTGGTGTCATGGTTGCGCGGCTTTTAGTGTTGCATGCACATCCACCAAATTGCGGAATCAATCCGTCCAGGCCGAGACATTTGGATTGGACAGTCTGACATATTTTCGCAAACATGATGTCTAAGCACGCCGCTTGAGGTACTTCTTCTCTTCGAGCCTAGAAACATCACCCAAGTCCTGGCTTCGTCGTGGCATCTGAGTTGAGCAAGCGACGCAAAGCAAACGCAGCGTGGCATAAAGCGAAACACCCCACGAGTCCGTCATGAAAACTCTGGACGAAACATGAAGAAAGCCGCCTCATTGATTGAAAGTGGAGTTTTGAAAATGTGGCGGTATGTCGACCATGCGAAACTATATTTTGCCAGGCTATTCAGTTGCCCTCTCATTGAGCAGCCCGGCTACCCAGCCGCTGCTCACAACGGGAGTGCTGGCAAGTATCGACCTTGCCAAGATGGTTAGTCAAAGGCATTCCACATCTCGAGCAGCTTTGCAAGCTGAATCTTGCTTCTTCCTCCAAATTCAAATGCTTGGATGTGCTTCCTCAATTGACCATAGACTAGCGGAAACCACCTGCATCATCATTCCCAAGAACCCAGAAATCTTTGCATCCAGCAAACTCCAATAGAGCACCGTCAAAAAAAAGCTTTGAGGTGTGAGGTCGCTTGGGGTGCAGACACGCCCACGGCGTCGTCTCCTGTTTGCTTGGCACTGGACAGGTGGCGTACCCGAAACCCCGGCCTTCGGCCGCTGGCACCGCCCGTGACACCTGGCGACCAAGCGACTGAGCGACACTTGGCGTCCACGAGCGCCTCGCCTCCGGCAGCAGGCACTGCCTGAGTTCCCAGCTTGGCAATGCAGGGCACATCAAAAGATGTCGAACATCGGAAGTCCCCACGTTTCGGCCTGCCATTGAACAGCTTCCGCAGGTGCTCCTTCCACCGCGCCTGGCGGGCGGAGCTCCCGACACAACAGCCTGCAGACGTGCAGACCTGCAGACTGCAGACCTACAGACCTACATGCAGGAAGAGTTGCGTTTCGTGCTGCGCTCTGGTAGCGCCTTAAGTTGACGAACACTGCCGAGATCAAATAGACACAAATTAAAGCACTTACTCTTTCTCAACTCAATGTAGGAGACACCTAAAGCAAAAGGTAACTTTGCCACCAAGTCGGGAGTGATAATGATCATCTCTGCAGCAAGAAACCCTTGCAATGTGCCGCCATTGCCTGTTCTCGAGCCACGGGTAGTAGAGCTTGGCACTTAAAGAACTTGCGATCATAAGGGGTGCACATGGACGCGTCTATCCCTCCATGGCAACTCATCCCAAACCTATTCCCATGCGCACCTCCAGCCACTTGGGCAATATCTCTTGGGTCAGCGTATCCTCGCACTCGTCGCTTCGGATGGCTGGCATTGAGGCTTGGGACCGCGGCAATGGTTGCCATCCATGCCACCCCGGAGAACCAGTCCGAACCTCGCAAGCGATACGCCGACCTGCCGAGGTCTCGAGGTCTCGGGGTCCGGGCGCAACACCACCGTGGCATCAGCGGCATATGGCGCCAGCCTGAAGCTTAACACCTTCACACTTCCCCTTTCACGGCGGAAAAAGAGAGAGAGAGAGAGAGAGAGAGAGAGAGAGAGGGAGAGAGAGAGAGAGAGAGAGTGTTGCTTCACAAGTGGTTCCAGATCTTGCGCGTTGCTATGATTTGACTTTGACCCCATCTGTACGGCATGCAGAAACGTTCCTCGCAAAGCACTGCTGTTGAAATCCCAAGCTGGGTGCCAAACCCATAGTCGTTCCAGGCACTGACGCACCACAAGCTCGGATCACCTCACAGCAGCGCGCGCAGCCCGTGCCATGCGACTCCAGGGGCGAGGCGTTGAAGCAGCGGCGCCAGCTGACCGTGGAAGATCAGCAGGTCCCGTGAGAGGCGCTGGCCTGCTGCGACGCTGTGACGCTGTGACGCCAGCTGTCCCGAACCCGGAACACGGGGGCCGTGCCTTCCTCCAAGATCAGCAGCGACGCAGCCTGGCGTAAGGAAGCGTGCGGCTATAGACGAAGGGCAAGACACCAAGTCACCTGGCTCGCCATGGATACTGCCTTGCGCAAGGCCTCTGAACGCCTCAAACGCCAGCTGGAATTCCCAATTTGCACATGTCCGTTTTAGTGTTGAGGCAAACAGGACCTGAAGACCCACAAGTCGAGGCTGATGAACCCCATAACACCTGGGAGCCCCACTTTGGGCTCTTGCCTGACGGGAAAAAGTTCCTCCCCCTCAACACCCCATCGCCCCTGTCACTGCCACGGTCCCTTGGACCCTCCGACCCTCCAGCCATGTTATTCAACTCCCTTCTATTCCAATCCCACCTAGCGCCAGACCGTGGAAGCCGAAGGCCTGCCAAGCGTTGAGCATGCACGTCACTTCACCACTGCACTCTGCCTCCCACCCTTCTGGCAAGTTGCCAGCAACAAGCACATTGCTCGGCCTGCGAGCTGTATCGCTGAAGTGCCGCAGTACCACTCTTGCTCGCTTCTTTGCTGGGGCCCTAGCTGAATTCCAGTCACATTCTTCAGGGCGAGCAAGGACTGGCATGCAAGCGCATTGCGCTGTGTGGCCAATCATGCAGTGCCTGCGACGTGGCATTCTCCACAAAAAGGAGCACCTAGAGCGAGCCACGGCCCTGATGCTCTGCTTATCACGAGACTCTGGCGAATATGCGCACGGGCAGCAAATCTGAGAGGCTTCGCCTCAAAACCGTCCAGACCAGCCATACGCCCAGCAAAACAAACTCCCTACATTCTGAGCAGCGAGCCCCGAAGCGAAGACGCCCATTGGGGCAGGCCCAGGCCTGTCGATAGTCATCCAACACTTTCACGGTTCCGACGGGCGCGTCACTGGAAGGTTCGCTGCATGCCATTGGCCTGGCTTTGATCGCGGCTGACTTGAACGCCTCCATGCGCTCAACTGACCTAATGCAGGCCACAGTGCGCAAGCTGGAATGCAACCCCCCGGCCCAAACCGTCAACCAGTACTCAGGCTACCCTTCTCTCACTGGTAAATTTGCTAGCAAGAGGATAAGCTCTAAATCTGAGGTAGAAGCGCCACATCCTGGCTGGACTTCTTGCTCTCATGCCTTAAACGTGCTGCAGAACCAAAGCATCCAAGCAAAAGTGGAGACAGAACTTTCACACCGCACATTTGGGATACACACGCAAAGTGGAGACCAGGACTCAGCAGTCGCAGGTGTGCCTTTGACCTGAGCCGCAAACGGCGCGTTTCTTCGGCACGGGCGGGTGTCAGCTGGGCACACGGCGCCAGCGGGAGACGACACACACAGAGCCGCCGCACCCGCGGGGCGTGGGCAGCACCTGATCCGATAAAGACGTAGATCTCATCCGACCCGGGCAGATTTCCCCGAGGCGCGGGCAATCCCCGGCCATCAGCCCAGAGCCTTTCGGGGCGCCCATTGGCCGAAGCCTCTTGATGCGTCTCTGGCTTGTTGACATGGTCGCCCTTTTGCCATGCCCGCGCCGAGCCTTGTGCCCTCTGGCCCGCTGAACAGCGGCCTGACGCAGGAAGGGCGTCGTGGAGCCAGCGAGATAAGAACCAACGAGGTAAGCAAAGCGCCTGTGTCGCGGTGCTGCCCTGGAAAGGCTGCCGTATCCGCCTGAACAGGCGGCAGGCTGGGTTGCGCTAGTCAAGAGTGCCCACCTCTTCCTCGCACACGCGGCAGCCAAAGGCAAGCGTCAGCGGAGGCGCCTTATGCACCAAGCGCATCTATCCATCCAAGAGGAACAGAGAGAGAGAGAGAGAGAGAGAGAGAGAGAGAGAGAGAGAGAGAGAGAGAGAGAGAGAGAGAGAGAGAGAGAGAGAGAGAGAGAGAGAGAGAGAGAGAGAGAGAGAGAGAGAGAGAGAGAGAGAGAGAGAGAGAGAGAGAGAGAGAGAGAGAGAGACAGAGAGAGAGAGAGAGAGAGAAGCAGCCGATCCCTTCAAGAAGGCTCGCTTTGGGGCCGGACGCAGGCAGCAACAGCCTGGGCCCAGCGGCTCTGTGAAAAGCCCATCTTCTTTTGTTTCTTGCAGTGCTTGAAGACATAGGAGCGAATGAGACTCGGGCAGCCAAATCTGCATCGACGCAGGTCTGGCCTCAACAGGGCCAGTCGACGGAGAGATACAGGAAGGTGGGGGCATTAACTGCCCTCTGCTAGCAAAATCCCACGCATTGACATTGACATGTTGTTGACTGCACCGACAAGATGCATCTTGGGCGTTGGTGGCAAAAAAAAAGCGACCACCAGTCGTCGACCCCTGAATCCACCGGGCTGGCAAAAGCCCATCCACTACATTCCCCTACCGCATCTATGAGGCCTGCTGGCACAACATCTTCCTCCCGCCTTGAAATTCACAGTGCCGAGCGCAGCTCTCGCCTCGCGATGCGCATGTGCGCACAATCAACGGCACAGGCGACTCGGGTGCCTAGGAGGGCGAGGCCCACCACTGCCTGGGAAGTCGCAAGCGCCGCTGAGGTCTGGTCTCCGAAACCCCAAGCCGAGACTCGCACCGCTGGCGGAATCGGGCGCTGCGGCGGCAGCCGCGGATCTGCCACGTGGGCCTTGAAGTGCGCCACTGACCTATCGAGCGAATCCGCAATACGCATTCCGAAGTGGAATCCTGCGGCTCAAGCATACTTGTTTATCCAAAATGGAACCGGAAATGCAAGGAAATGACTACAACCAGCAGTCTGGTTCGTTTTCAAAAGGCCCCAGAAGCATCTCGATCGTCTGAGCTTGGCGCAGGTGTCCAAAGGCCCGCCCTCACGGCTCTGGCCATCGGCTCGCGCCCTTCATTTTTCTCCCCGAGCCTCCGAAGGTGTGACGCCAGCTGCGCTGCCACCGCTCTGTGGCCATCAGAAGGGGCGAGTTGTCCAGCACCTCGCTCCAACCATTTTGCACCAGCCCTGGTTTTGCCTGCCAATTCAGCATTTTGGCGAGCGGCTTTTGGATTAGTGGAGTTGACACAGTCTGCACCGCCAACTGTCCTTTTGGGCTGTCCTTGGGAATCGGATCACTCCGTTAGCGTTGTACTTGACGCGTCGAACTTGTGTCGGCTCAGCTGAACCCGACCGATTCAAGCCGCTTGGTTGAGTTGGGCAACTGACACAATTGGCGGCTTCACCCATGTTACGATGTTGTAGCCATATGCAATTCCAAAACAACACAGAGCGCTGCTTCTACCCTGATGACACTGCGAGCTCTCATTCATTCGATGGAATTGCGCAGCGTCGCTGCTTTATGATAGTCGCAGTTCCGTCTTTGTGGCCTGAGCTAGCTTCTGTTGTTGCCTTCTCTCCGGGTCAGGTGTGTACTGTTGATGCCTCAGACATTGTGAAGAGTTTCACAAGATGTTGCTTCGTTCACATCAAGACATCAGCACACCAGGGGCCTCTACTACAACGGAGAAAATGAATGCAATGTTGAGACAAGCCTCACTTTCCTTTGACGTAGATGTCAACCTAATTTCGGCGATGTGTCGCGAAGAATGTGGCACTTGGTGTCCCGCAAGATAAAGCGCGACATCCCGCCACCACAAGCGCAAAACACCTCGCGTGCTACAAATGTAATCTTTCGACATATATCATCACAGGAATTTGCTGAATTCATGATAAAACTCGATCTGAGGCCAAGGCCGTGATAGGTCCCTCTAGGCCTGTACGTCCACGGCTTGCATGTGCATGCGCGCGTTTGTGTCCATGGCACCCGGCTTATCAATGGACAGGCCAAAGTAGCCTGCTATTTCCGCCCATGCAGAACCTTATGGGCAGAAATACGTATCAAGCTCGCTTGTGAAAGCCTGAGGCCTGTCATATGGCCTCATGCCCCCCCCTCAAGCACCGCACCAGATGTACCAGATATACCAGATACATCCTGCAAATGTCTCAAGTTGCCAATTCCGCGACACTCTGAGCACACCCCCTGCTATCCCGCCCAAAGCCACCGCGCCCACCTGTGCGCCCAGCACCAATCGCAAGGGCACGCGATCCTTCACGAGTGAAGCTGTGCTGTCGGCGAACGGAGCACCGTTACGTGGTCCAACAAACGCGCTCTTGCCCCAAAGCTCAGGCTGCATCCTGGACGCGTGCGGCAGCATCCTGGCAAAAAAGAGAAGAATCGGAAATAGCCTTTGCCTTTCGACTGTCTCACTCCGTGGTCAATGGCTCTGTGCGAAGCTGGTGCACCATCTTTGAATTTCTGGGTCGCCGCCCTCGCCTCGGATCCGGGCCTGGAGAGAGAGAATGGTCTGCGATCACTTTCCTCGCCCCTCACGCACTGGGCCGACGGGCGCGTAGTCCAAGTGCGCCTCCAACTCTGCAACCTGAAAACGTCAAATCGAATCTGGACGCATCTACGTGAGCCCCTCCCGTTCGGCCCGTTTCCCCCCTTCCCCCCTTCCCCCCTTCCCCACGGGCCCCACCGACGCCACCGGCTTGCTGTGGAACATGCCCTGGCTTCCCGGCCTCACAAACGTTAGCGCTCTGCAAGGCATCACATGCTCGCACAGAAACACATGAGCCTTCAACACATGCTCAACGGTTTGCCTTGAACATGGGCCATGCGTTTCAGGCTGGTGCCATCTCCACAGGAACCACTCCTGGAAGCTTGCCGCCTGATTCCCGAACGGCAGGACTACTGAGGCAAGACGTACCTTCCCTTCCACTAACACGCACCTGACAGGGGGTCCCTTCAAGAGAAGATTGATCTTCCAGGTACCCTCCGACAGTTCGCAGTTGCCATCTTGGTGGGAGGGAGGGGAAAAGAAAAAATGAGAAACATCAATGCCAGGCAGCAATCTCATCTCTGCAACAGGCTTTAGGGACCAACCTTTGTGAGGACATGCTCTTTAGCTCTCAGCCCTTCTACCCGCCTCCAGCCGCCGCGCGTCCCCCAAGTGCGTGCGCAATGCGCCACTAATGGCGCTACGCGCGGATAGGCGCTGCAACTGCACCTGTGCGAAAGAAGAAGATTCGACAAGTGAAAGAGAAAGAGACAAAGAGTGAGAGAGTCAAGTCCCCCAAACTTGCTAAGGAGCAATAAGCCCAGCCTCTTCTTCAGTGCATTTGACGCTTGGCATTGCCTTGGAGGGTCAAGAGAAAAGCTGGAAAGTTGGAGATCATTGCTCAAAGGATATCATGTATGTTGCAGGCGTCTTTGCAGTCCTCAATCTTGCTCAGCTGTAGAATCCACATGCCAGCCCTACCGTGGACGCTGTGAAGTGTCGAATTGAGTGGAATCCTGAAAGCAAGCACAAAACAACAGAGTTGCCACCAATGACGTCTTCTGCAGCAGAAAAAAGCTTTCGGGTTGGGTCACCTGTTCACTCTGGCCGAGTGCACACGCGCCCTGCCGGGACCCAGGCAGTCACAGGCAGGTTGGCCCGCGCCAGGGTCGCAACCAGCACTGCGGAATCCACACCCGGGCCGCGGCGGCTCTGGCGCAAGCCTCGCTCCGTATGGCTCTGTATGGCTCCGTATGGCTCCGTATGGCTCATGGCTCTCACAGACGACTTGTGTCAGACGGCTTCTGAGGCAAAGGCAGTCCGCTGTGGCGAGCGCTACTCGCGGCACTTCTGGGAATAGACACCTGCGGGAACCAGCCAGAACATACCCAGCCAATTGCAGAGTAAGGACAGAGCTGCCGCTTCGAGTCCTGCATGAATTCTGGCAGCCAGTCCTTCCAACTCTTGTCCTGGCCGTGTCCGCGCGGGTCCAGGAGTCCAGGAGTCCAGGAGTCCAGGAGTCCAGGAGTCCAGGAGTCCCCCCCTTTTTCAGATGGGCAAACGGGCCTTGGACATGGCCAGCAGCTTCCGCAGCTTGGGCAGCGTCAGCATCCAGGCTGCGCGAGAGTGGGGGTCTCTGAAGGTCCCAAAACCACTCAGGCCGAAAGCCTGGCGAAGAGACGACGAACAAAAAAAAAAACAAGGCGAGTACTGCGTCAAGAGCCAGGCTCGCCTATTGGCGGAAATCCATCTGTTCTGTACACGACTGTAGGATCCGCCACGTATGGCCTGAGGCGCCATTGCAAGCTGGACAACTTGGCAAGACCAGGGTGCGCAGAATGGGGTTAGCTTCACGCTGGGCATCTGGCGACACTCCATTTTCATTCCAAGCACTGGCGCAAAGGATGCTGTCATCCTCACCTTGACACAGTCTGAGAGTTGACCAAGCGCTCCAAACTGCTATTGGAAATGGGGCCCAAGCTCATGACGGGAAGAAGCTGAACAAAGAACCAGAGCAGGTCCAGGGAGAAGATTTGGCCCTCCTGGGTGTTTGCCAGGTCTTCTTTCTGGGCTCATTGCCAGAAGCGCCTCCAGCACCACCAAGGCTTTGGGTGGTTTGCCTGCCACAGGCCATACCCATGGAACCCATGGAGCATGCACCGCAGGCAGCCTGCAAAGTGGCGAAGTGAAAAAGTCAGGGACCGGAGCAAATGCGGTCCCGGCGCTGCGGCCTCGCGTCAGATGCACGGCTCACAAGTGGAACCACCACTCGAGTGCCTCTTGGAAGACTGGAAGACTGCGCTTGCCTGAGCAAGCGAATATTTGTGGGAGTCACAAAACGAAAGCGCGCCTCGATCCCAGCCCTTTGCAGGGAAGCCGGCACAGAAGAAGCCAAACCTGAAGAAAATCCGGAATGAAGAAATTTCCGGGATGGGAAGAAGCTGCACTTGCGAACGGGGAAAAGTAGGGCGTCGGGCTCCTCAATGGCATCCAGCTGGGATGCTTGTCCGGGCGCCGCCAGCGACACCAAGACCTGTGCACATCCGACGTGTAGCGGAGCCACCTGCACTGGGCTCAGCAAAGCTTCGCACTTGAGAAGCCCGAAGTCCGTCAACACCTCAGCCGCTCGGAATCGTCTGCAACACAAACAACGTGAAACGCAACTCATCTTGGTCAATAACTTCTTGCCTGTTGACTACACATTATAGATGGCCCTCCTCGGGCATTCCTGCCCAGCTATCTTTCTGCCCATGCTTGCACATGCCTACCCAATAATCGGAGCGCTAAGTAATTGATGATATGTTGCCTACCAACACTGCTCGCCACACGCAGCCAACACTGACTGCATGTCACCTTCACCTCTGCATGCCTAGTGAGACAAATGGGGTGTAACAAACACCAAGAGGCAGTTGAGAATTTCTGAGAAAAGCGCGAGAGAGCGACTGCAGCGTCGCCCGCAGCAACCAGACCTACGTTCTGACTTGGGTTCTCGCCACACAGGCAACTCGGCACCAATCGCTGGCCTTGCGACCGCTGGACAGCACCTCCGATTTTGTGGCAAGAGAGGCGTTTTCGGGCACAACTCCTATCTGCGACGACGGCACCAGCACTGCAAGGTCTGCAGGCTCGAGCACTGCACCTGGCTATGGCTGCTCAGACCTCCACAACTCCACCGCCTTGGCCTTCGTTCTCCACAACAAACGGCGCCTTGCACAATGTCCGTCAAGAAAAAGGCCATGGCTGGATTGATTCAAAGTGCCAGGCGTCAGGATCCGCGAAGACGGCCACCGGCCCTGCAACTCCTCCTCAGCGAGGGAAAGGGAAGGCAAAGGCCAAGTGCAGTAATTACGGCGAGCCCACCGGTGGCCAGGAAGTCTTTGCTGACCGCCTCATTTTCTCGGACGAGCGAAGAAACAAACGCGGCGCCGACACGCCAGCCGTGGCCTCGCCACTCTGCAGGAAGGCCATGCCCAGCACCGCCTTGCAGTTGCGAGGTCTTGGAAGGGCTCTGTTTTGGACACTTTCCCCCCACAAATCCGAGCGGAATTGTTCCAAATTGAACGGAACAACGGGCACATGCCTGCAGAAGAGCTGCGCCCAGCAGCAGCCCCACACAGCGGCCCCATCTGCCTTCGCCCTCCCGCCTCTCCGGCACCTGTCATATGCAACAGGTTGGGAGACAGAAGCCCAAGCCTGGCATGCCTGCCGGGGAGCCTCGCCCTTTGCCTCGCGAGGTCAAGACTTTGGGCATCTGCAAATTACTTTGGTCAACACCTGTTTTGGTCGACAAAAGATGAGATGCAATTCATGGGCTTCCTCTTTTTGCGAAACGTGGCATACCCCAGGCTCACCTTGGCTCGTCGCTTCTTGTCTCCATCCTTGGAGTGCCGGCCCAGTTTCATGCGCCCGAGCGCAGTCGTAACATGGCAGGCTCTAGCAGGGTGTCTTGAACAAGTTGTATGCTTCATGCCTGGGCTGTCACGTTAGGTTCACCACGGGACGGCTAGGCTACCTGGAAAGATTGGAACCCACCTGATGCGGCCAGGTCTTATATTATCCAAGCGACTAACCGTTGCCCCATACCATTGCCTAGAGTACACAAAACAAAAGCACGAGCTGGGAACGCCGTCTTGGGAAAAACGAAAGCACGCGGTGCAGAAGATGTGCTTGACAACAAAAGGCCAGCTGACGCCTTTCTTGCGTCCATTTCCACTAGCATTGCATGGCCAGTGGGCCATGCACGGCCGGGCCAAGCTGCACGGGGCGAGGGCTGAGACATGGCAAGGCCATGTGCTCGTGGGATCTCGTGGGTGCCTTTTTGCCTTTTTGCGGCTCCTTTTTCGAGTCCACCGAGTGGGCCATGGGAGCCTGGCGCGTTCCCAGTCTGCGACTTGGAGCGGCTGGTGGCCGTGGCCGATCTGTGAGACGAATTCGGCAGATTGATGAGACACGTCGATGCGGCAGGAGACTGGAGACTCCGTTGGCCTCCGCGCTGCACTGCTGCAGTTTGTAAAGAATTGAAGCGAAAAATGAGGAAAATGTACAGATTTTACACAGTTGGCACACCACGAGATGGAAAAATGTGCGGCGTGCGGCTCCAGCATGTACTGAATCTGTTGTCATCATCTGGTCCCAAATCACTGTCGGATCCCATGCCTGTGAAAAGCCTCGTTGCTCGTCTCTAGGGCACCAAACATAACGTCCTTCAACTGCTTGTGAACGACTTGCCCCTTCCTTCCTGAGAACTGAGCTGGTCCACACTTGGCAATTAGGACCGGAGCAGATTTAGCACAGGTCTGGTTACAGATAGCCGACTCAGCTGGGCTATGTCAGCTGCAAGTCTGAGGCTCACAACTCAGAGAATGTGGCGACTCGGCAGAAGCTGCTCATGCGCTGCTCGTGCCCCGCCATGCTACCGCCACCTAACACGCCACGCTACATTCGGCTTTGTGCTCTGACACAAAGCTAAACTGTTCTCAAGGAATGTAAAGCAAGATCCTTGATTGTGTTGCTGGGGTGCTGGGCGAAAGCACATGCGCTAGCGCCTTGAGAAGTGGAAGACATCTAGGATTCTTTGTCTGCACATCTCATTCCGATTTCTTTCACAGAATGCCAAGGCCCGTGTTCATGGCAGCGTAGCTGGGAAGACAACAAATGCACAAGGGTCAACTGAATGGGCGGGCAACAGCAGCCCCAAACCAGGGAGATGAGGGCAACATTAGAGGGAACTTGTGGAACAAGTCAAGTCTTTGAGAGTCATTCCTTCGGGACCTCTGCCAAACGCGCGATGGCAAAGCTTTCCAAAGCTTTAAAGCTCTCCTAGCGCCTCCAGCGCTTCAAAACACCATCCCAACTCGACTTGCGTCGCGCCTGTCTCGGTGTCGGTGATGTCGTCCCCAACTGGGGGCTGCCCAAAGACGCGCAGCTCCAGGCACTCTGCCGGATGCCAATCCCTTTTGCTGGGCTGCGAATAGTCGATGGCTGGCACCTGACGTGAACAGCTCGGGGCAACATGATATAAGCTTTCACTTCAGTGCACTTAGAATGATCCTTTCAAGCACCCGGCCAAGTACTGAGCCGAGGCGTGCGCAATGACGCCACCGCCATAGGTACCCCCCACAAAGAGGCGCACACACTCCGCGCAAGGCCCCAGGTGGCTCAGGGAGTTGAGGGGCACACACCTGGCGCGGGGTGAGTGAACCGATGTAACCAGAGTTTTTCGTTAAATATTCTGCCGCACTTCGGCACCACCTTGATTTGCCCTGGCCTACGCAGTCGCACCGAGCCTCACAGATGTGCTTCGACCCCAAATGTGGGAGCTCTTCTGAAGCAGCCGAGGGAAGCTGGGCTTCTTTTCTGCCCTGGCAAGGCAGCGGGAAACTTTCAAAAGAGGAATGCCCAACATAGCGGCGACAATGGTTTTCAACTCCCAGTTTCATTTCTGCCACGCAAGGCCGCGTACTATCTTGCGCAAGGCATAGGCTTGGCGGAGGGATGCACACGCGCCGTTGTTTCAAGACCCTGCATTCACGTAGGAAATGATGTCTTGTACGCTTGCGCTCTGGTGCGAATGTCCCAGTGCTTTGAGCGTGCATTTAGCAAACCGAGGCATGTCTGCAGTGAAGAAAGGTGTTTGCTTGGGTGATATTGCTGACGTGTTGTTTGATGCTTGGCCTCCAGACTGTCAGCTGTGCTCAGAATACTCCAGTGTAAGAGCAAAAACAATGCCAGGTTTGCAAAGCACCTCAATGAGTCCGTGTGTTGCATCTCAAAGACACGCAAATCAGGCGCCTCTGGCTGTCCTCGAAAGCCGCGTCCATGTGGAAGAGCCAGCTCTCACCATGGATCGAGCCATCGAGCCTGCACGGGAATCCAATCGATGGCCACCACACAGAAAGTCGCACCCCCCAGAAAGTCACACAAGGGCCTTCGGTACTCCACCAAGCACTGGGCGAAGGGCGATTTCCTGCGAGGCGCGAGGCTGGTTTCGCAAGGAAAGAGGCGACGAAACTCGCCTATGGTCCACTGCCGTATCGGTGGGTGGCGGTGGCTGCGCGATGGAGGTCGCTGCTCGCGCTGTGCGGTCCTGCAACACTCTCAAACATCGAGATCCAGGTGCATTGCATGCATTGCAATTCAAGGTTTCCCAGCTCCTGAGTGGAGGAGCGAAGCCCTCCTAACGTCAAGGTTCGGATTGCTGGAGTCACACACGGCAGCCAAGTTTCCAGAATTTCTGCATGCGTCCCTCTGCTGCCAAAGCACCCAAGACGAATGCCTGACCAGTCAGCAGCAGCAGCGCGGCACCTTGCAAAGACAAGCGCAGCATTGCGCAAAAAGGTATTCAAACGAATCCGTCGGGGCTTGTCTCGCACTTGCCATGTGAATGGCGATTATCATGTGCAAACAAAGAGGAACGCGTCGTGGCAAGCAAGGAAGCTCCCTACCCCGGCCTCCCCGCATCCTCAAGGCGAGCCAGGGCTTGGATATTGCGAATGTCGCTGGTCACGATCACGTGCTTTCGCTTGGCTCAAGTTTGAGGGGTGCTGAGCTCATTCCAGCATTCCGGATGGGGTTCCTTCCATGAGCCACAAGCGGACGTCGTACACTTGTCCTCTCTGACTCTTCAGGATCATGCAGCAAAAGTGCCCCGCTCATGAAGTGTCGCACACCCCCGGTGATAAACATAAGGCGGGGAAGTGCGGCTAGAGGTTGATCCCAGGAAGTGGGCATTAATTAGGTGTGGATTTGTTGATTTCTTCAGCTATCTGAGAATCTGAGTTCCCGCAGCCCTCACACTTGCGCTTCGCAGCTTACTTGTGGCGTGCGAGTCGTGTGAGGGAGCACGTGAGCCGCCGGAGCCGGCGAGGTCAGCGCTTTGCGCCTCCAGCGGGCCTTAGGCGTCCCATCTCCACCAGGTGTGAGCTGGATCATCCGGGATGTGCATATACCTGACACTCCAAGCCCACGGGATGCCTAGCCGAACATGAGCCACGGTACAAGGTTGACCCCAGTGCACGGCAATGAGTGAGTCGGAAAACGAGCAAGTCACTTCCCGCATGTTTCTCTATGGCCATAGTCGGCTGGAAATGCCAACTGAGCCTCGCATCAGATTCGACCTTTTAGCCCACGAAAGTCAGGGTGCGGGATGTCCTCGATAACAGCTTTGGCCGTGGAGACTGCAACTTCCAGCGGCTCCCAGCTCCTGAACAACAGCGGTTTGGGACTTTCTTGGCACAATGCTGGGGCTCTAAGTAGTGTGTCCTCTCAAACCTCTTCAGGTCTCCAATGGTATTGCTTCAACTGCCACGTGCTTCTATCATTCCGTTCTATCATTTCAGTAGTTTCACATGCTTCTCTGCTGTAACCTCCCCATCAACTATGCCCCCTATCCACCATGCAGCTAATCAACAAGCCGAACACAGCCGGAAAACGAAAAGTCGGGATAACAAGAAGAGCCTGCCAAGCTGAATTAAGAAATGTGCAGAAGGCCCTTGAACGGCATGCAAAAGCGCCCAAAGATACAGGGAGAAAGGAACGACATGAAGCGAGTAGACAGAAGAACTCGTGCACCATTGCGGTCGCGGGTCGTTGACGCAAAGGCTGCTCGGGCTGCCTCCAGGTCTGACTCCGAAGGCTCTGCGGTCCAGCGCAGCACCGTGGAGTGGACGATGTCCGGCAGGTGCGGCGGTGGATCACCTGAACGTCCGTGAAGGTACGACACAAGCATTGAGCAAACCCCAAATGCACCAAATGCACCAAATGCACCAAATGCACCAAATGCACCAAATGCACCAAATGCACCAAATGCACTCAATGGCCTTCGGCCGTACCAGGGAGCGGCTTGGCCTTTGAGCGATCACAGCCTTCCGGCAAATATGCAAGTGTCACGTTTGCTTTGAACAGCTGCACATTCCTGCATGTTCCGCTCATCTCCTGACTTAGCATGTTGGCCATGGATGAAAAGAATCAGCCCTGTTCCTTGCTCCCCACCTTCTGCTGCAACTCCACCTGCAGAGCAGATGGCCTCTCGCAGCGAGCTGCGCATGGCTGCAATGGCGCCATCCTCGGATCCGAGCGCTCCCATCCCATGCCAAGCAACGCGTGCTACGGCGTGCTACGGCGTGCTACAGCGGCTACTCGGCACCTGCAAACTCGCACGCTTGTTGCTCTCAGCTCAGGCGCGGACGTCCTCGAAGCGGAAGATCGCGGCCGCACCCTCCAAGGTGGGAGGCCCCATCTTCAGCCGGAAAGCTCCTCCAAAATTCCAATCCGAGCTGCAAGTCCAAAAGTCTCTGGCCCAGAGACGAAGTTGGAGTGCAGATCACTCCCAGTCCCCCAGTCCTTGCGGCCACGTTGGCAGCGCACGCGCTGCATCCAGCACGGGCCGCCACCGGCTCATGGCATCCGGCTCCAAAGGGCCTCTAGCGACCACTCACCAGCCAGTTTCCATTCCGGATCGGAGGTGGGAGCGAAACGCAATGCCGAATTTGGCAACGGGTATCACAATGGGCAAATGTCATCGCCCCCATTATCAAAGCATGTTCCCCAAGCTGTTGCTCCAACATCATGAGGCACCACCATGTGCCCGTTTGCTGACCAGCTCATATGATCTGCTGTCATGAAGCTTGCCGTGAAGCTCCCACGCGCCTGCCGTGAAGGCTCGCAGCGTGCAAATCGTGCAGTGCAAAGTTTCGGCAGGGTAGATGTAGGCCTCGCTCACTACCCAGGATACTGCCAGTGCGTGGTGGGCTTGCTGCATATCCAAACATTGCTGGGAAGCCCACGATAACTCTCCCCGAATCAAGCTGCAGGCCAAACAACTTCGGGCTTGCTTTTTGAGAACCGTCCAGCTCTGCCGATGCACTCCATTGGTTTGCCTTTCCGGCCAGGATCTGCGCAACAAACAACAGATCACTGGATCTTGATACAGCCGTCATGAGCAGGCATAAGAAACCCGGCCTCCCCCACTGCCCTCCGAGCATCATGCCTTCTTTGGCATCACTGCCAGGAGTTTCTCGCGAAAGATTTCGTACTTCCGGATCCTCAGTTTCCAGTGCCAATATGTGCAGCACATAACAAATGTGTTGTGACCACTGCAGAGTTCAATGCGAAATGCATGCCAATGGCAAAATGCACACGAAGAAAACGGATGGTTTCTGTTGACAACCAGCTGTTTGACTGTACCAGTGGACCGGGGGACTTCTGTCTCTTCAATGTCGTATGGCTGTCCCAACACGGCACATTGAAAGCAATCCTTTGTGCTGCACACAACACCGATCTGGTCTCTTGGTCGTCCAATGACATGTCGCTCTTCAAGCACTTCAGTGAGCAGATTCACTGCTGTGACGCCATGCTTCTTTGATCCATTTCTAATATCTTCTTCAGGCCTTGTGCAGCTGCTTCCGCAGGCAATAAAGCCTCGAAGCTGTAAAATGACTTGGACATGCAAATAGTAGCACAAACTTTGATTCGACTTGCTGCCCATACTGTCCATTCCGCGGCTGCTGTCCATGTGTGGATCCACCTTTTGGTGACTTGCGCCGTTTGTGCCGTCTTCGAAAGAGACATGATTAGCTCATATGGTTGTTTTTTGTTGAAAGCGCAGACAAAAACAAGAAAAGAGCATACACTTTGCCCTGTGAGATGCATACTGTGATATTATGATTCATGTTCAATAAGGTTCAAGCACTTGTTTCCCAGCTTGCATGATTGTTGCAATTACCAGAGGGCCATCCGCAAACAAGAGTGTTGGTGCCCCTGGTATGTTGTTGGAGCGGAAAACGCAAATTGCTTGGCAAACGACTGGATAAAGTCACAAACCCCAGCACTTTCCTGCGACAGCGCGTGCTCTGCGTGCCAGAACTGAGCCAAGATTCACTTCTTCCGGCATGGGCCAAGAGCAGTTCCTCGGTTGATGACAAAGCTCAGCTTTCTGTACAAGTTAATTAATAGCCACACACCACGCCTGCACACTTTGCAAACGGTCAGCTTTGAATGGCTCACACGGAATGTAAGGTTCGCCATGCGGCTGTCGCAATCCTTGCCAAGAGGCAGCACCAGCCCGCAGTACTCGCCCTGTGCCACCTTCCCCTCTGCCAGACGAGCAACGATCTCATTCATGGCTACGAGTGGACGCAGTTCCAAACTCTGTTCCGCGTAAGGACCACAATACCTTGAGGACTATGTTTGCCATGTCAAGCTTTCACCTATGTGAAATGTGGTTCTCACATGTTCCAATGCAGGAACAGCAAACTGGGAGCCAATATTACGGCAGGAGTGCCAGAAGCAGCAGGATATCATGGTGAACGCACGATCAAACAACAGAGGAGAAAGCAAAGAAGGTACGTTGAAAAAAGCAAGCACCTCTTTTGGAAGCTCCTCAATCTCAGGCGCGGTCGCGCATCTGTATTTCTGCAAACCTTCCAAGTTTCCAGAAGGTGGAACTATCCCTAGTACGGCGATTCAATGTCAGGGCCGCCGTGGGGTACGGCAAAGGCCCAACACCAAGTAGCTGAGTAGAAACCCAGTGCTTTCACTCGGTCTCATTCCAGGATTCGATGAGCCCACGACAAACACAGCAAGGAAGAACCTGCCAATACAAGAGAAAGATATATAGATATATATATTTATTCATTTATTTATTGATTTCTTCAAAGGTCAAACAAGCCACCCCGCATCCCAAACGACACTCTAACTCGAAAGGGAGCAGCGCAACCCTTATTCAAGTAAGTTGAAAAACGCACGTGATCTCATTAGAGAGAAACGAACACCCACTGCGCGCTCCCTGAGCCGGACCACATGAATGATCCTGCGACATGTTGCGGCGGCTTGCCAAATTTGGTTCAACCAAAAATGGAGAATGACCTAGTGCGAAATAATGCGTTATCAGCTACGCTGACCACTGCATATATATATATATATATACGGTACGGCACGACGGCCTTCGTGAATATCTCAAGCAGTAACTGTCAGGCCTTCCGCGCGAGCCGCTGCTGGCAGCGACCACAGAAAGGGCCGTGTTGGCAGCCTGGCTTTCTGCGAGAGCCCAGTGACTGCCCCCCGCCACACGCTTTCATGTCGAAAAGCTGCGGCTGCGCCTGGGGAAAAAACTGAGCGGCTCACCAGGCGCGCATACAAAGCGCCTGGCAACGGCGCGATTTTGCGCGGTTCCCGTTCCTAAACTTTCACACATCAACTTCGTTTTGCCCCTGTTGCCCCCTCGTTGCCCCCTCTTTGGCGCCTGGCTTCTTTGGCAGCGCTCTGTCACACTGTGCGCAGCTTTGAATCCCCTCCGCAGAAGTAACGCCTGAAGGGAGCATCGCGCAAGCTTGCAAGCATGCCTACTGCCCGGAGATATGCCAGTCATGTTCGATCCAAGGCGCGGATTTTCATGTCAGGCTGCTTTGCTGTCCTCGTTGTCACCTGCGCGAATCATATGGCTGCAATGGTGCTGCCCTATGAACTCCATCGTGTGTTGATATCTGTTTCGGCTTGCCCTCGCAGGCGGCCGGGGGAAAGCCACAGTCCTCGACTTCTTCTCGACTCCACTCGCTGCGCCCAAGGCGGTTCGTGGCGCACACACGTATCCTGCGCATCCAGCGAGTCAAACGGCGCGCATGTCACGCAACCGGTCCTGGTGACTGCCTGGTCGGGCAAGTCCAGGATCGTGCCCCACCTCTTGGCATTCACTCGACTCGACCCGTCTCCCTCCAACGGCGGCGCCTGCCGGGCGCCGCACCCAGCTCCTTGCACCTCGCGCAGCTTCCAGACCAATTCGACCCGCTCGCCAAGGCAGCTGAGACAAAAGCAAATTCACCACGACGGATTCCTCCTCGCTTGGCGCTCAAGCTGTTGCCATCTTGCTGAATGGCTACGTGGTCCTTCCAAGTCGCATCTGAAACTTCTTCCCGCACCATTTTCCAGGCGTAGATGTAAGACTCCTTGGTGCATCCAGCACTTGAAGCTTATCAATTCAACTAGACCACGCCTCATGAAAGGGGTTCACCTGATAGTGTCCCGACCAAAGGATGAGCACCTCACACTTGGCAACTTGGCACTGGCAGTGAGCGGCGCTCGGAATGGACCTCTCCATGTCCACCAGCGCGAGCACGCAAACTGTGCGGAGGTAGGCATGGCCTTGGCCAGAGACCCGTCTTCCTCACGAACAGCAACTCAAAGCCTCCAAGTGCCTTTTGGTTTTTGTTTCGATTGCTTGAGCTCGGCTTGCACTTCCGCATGCATCTCAGACAGCGACGAAGCCCAGCGGCCTCCACTCACTTTCCTCACGCCCAGACGTGCCGAAACGGCGGTTTTATTTCAAACTCGAAGACAAGCTGCCTGAAGATCCAAAGGGTGGCCGACACAAGCTGCCTGACAATCTGTGGACCCAGGCAGACTCGGTAACTCGCAAGTATACATTGAAACCGCGCGCGACAAGCGCATTGCAGGCTGCAAGAAAATAGAATCCCGATAGTGCGAGTGCCTGCCCGCTGGACTCTCAGACACAGATCGAAATACCTGTCAAGCACAAAATGCAAACTGAGGTTGTCCATGCACGAAGCACAGCCAGGTTATTGATTCCTGCGCTTGTTATGGTTTGTTGCAACATGTAGCTGCAGCTTTCCAACAAAGGTGCTTCGCCTGGCTGCAATTGAGACACTGTGCCCCGAGCCTGTAGCACCTCTCTCCGGAAGCTCCGTTGGAGCTTCCAGATCTCCTCAGAGACTCCGGCTCCGAATTCACCCGGCCTTCCCCGGCCTCCCCCAGCCTCTCCCGGCCTCTCCCGGCCTCCCCCGGCCCGCCTCGCTGAAGCACAGCATCTTCTCCGGCAGCAACAAGAAGGTGACGAGGAGAACCTGAGAGCCATGGAGCTGAATGGGCGTCGAATACATCTCGCATCGACTTGCGCCAGGTCACGAGGGCGGACATCCAGCCACGTGGACGGAAAGAATCTGCAAGCAAACCCATCCCAATCAACATTCCAAACCCACAGATGGCGCTGTGTTTTTTAAGAGACACCTGGCAAATATCGCGCCTCCATCGTGGTTGTCCCAGCTGTCCATGGCATCGAACCACTCATAGGTGCCGAAAATCACCTCGCCTCAATGCCTCGCTTGTCTGAATTCCAAACTTGGTTTGCTTGGGATCGTGTCTTCAGGGGTTTGTTGGGCATCCTACGCATCTAGCCGTCAGTGTGGTGCCTGGATCAATGTAAGCCAACCTCTCATGTTTGGAACGGGATTCCTGACAAACAGCTCTGATTTGTCCACTTTGAGAAAGTAAGTGCACAGCATGGGCTCATATCCAACAAGTTCCAACTGAAACACTGCTCTCACACAACTTTCGGACCCAAGGAAAACTGATGTAGCCATTGCTGCCAGCTCGTTGTTTTTGTGCATGGCAATGCATAAAACAACCCTCCGCATAAAACAACCCTCCCAAATCTGCCAAGCGCGCAAAACCAAACAACCAGTCCGCGCAAACACACGCCATCGAGCTGGTTTTGTTCCAAAAATGTCCTTCATATCATGCCTACTGCAAAAAGTTGTGCTTGCAAAAGGCTGCATAGCCATTGAGGCATGACAGCATGTCCATCCTTGTGATTGCAAAGTTAAGTTTCGGTCATGCGCCGCATGACGAATCACAGCTGGCATGTGAACAAACACTCGCCTGTGCCGGCCTTGACGCATCGTGAAACCGTGCAAAAGGCAAGCTTGCCGTGTTGTTTCAACTTTAAACCTTGGCCACTATATCAAGCATCGAACATACTTCTGCTATCAGCATAGCAACCGTCCCACAAAAGCATGCCAAAACACCCTGCAAAAAAGGGTGTTAAAATATACTTTATAGCATAAAATCAATGAGAGCTTGTTCCATTGACCTTAGACAATTTTATGTAAAGTATGTATTGATAAAAAATGATATTAGTTTTCTTTAGTCTGGTTCACGTCTAAATTTGTTTGATGCTTCTTTGCTTTTATATTGTCGTAAAAGTAATTATGGCTCAATGTTTTTTGCGAGTAGAACAAACAACATGTTTTGTTCTAGACGTCTTACCTTGTTTTTGTTTAGTTTTCTATATGTTTCATCTTCTTTGTATCTTGTTCTTTGTTCCTCTTTGTATTTTTCCTTCAGAAGCCCTGGGTTTTTGCACCCCAGCGCTTTTGTCATGATTTCATGTGATTTGCCTACTTGGAAAACCTCGAGAAATCGGGAAAAATCTAGGAGAGATGCTTGGTTCTACCCACTTGGAAACCTCAAACCGAAAAAAAACGTCGACAAAACGAAAAACAAATAAGCAAAAAAAAAGTTCAGGAAAGATGCTTGGTGTTACTCACTTAGAAACCTCAAACCGAGAAAAGAATCGAGAAGTCGGCAAACACCAACAAAAAACAAAAATACCACAAAGTTCTAGGAGAGATGACCGGGTATACCAGCAATGTCCTCTGCAAAAATGCTTGTGTGTTTTGTTGTTTTTGTTTGATTTCTGGCGGTCGTTTTTTCCGGTGTTCTATACATCATAGTGATCCTCATGCACATGTCATGCTATCTGCTAGGTCTAGAAAAGGTCTAGAATTGAGCAATAGCATTTGTTGTTGGTCTAACTGCCTTATCTGTAGAAATACGAGTGATGACTCAACACTAGCTTTTAGTAGTTTTAGATCCCAGCAAATGGTCCATTGTCTTTGAAATACTTTCCTCACATGTGTGCAAGCTGCTGCATGAAACACTACATCTGGAAAGTAATCACTAACAACATTTTGTAATCATTCTAAATCACAAACAAAACATAAACTGCGTTTATATTATAAAAAGAACCTTCTTCAGAAAATTTACATAAATTGAACTCACCATGATTGAGTAAAATTATCTGCTTAGCTGCGTACTTAATGCATTCCCTAACAGTTTCAGAGCCAATACCCCCCCGGCCCCTGTAATAAGGACCCTTTTCTCCTTAATAAAGTATGAAAAAGATTCTTTGTCAAGAGTTGTCGAGTCTCTAGAAAGTAAGTTATAAAGTGAAACAGGCCTGAGCTGTGACAAAACTCTCATCTTGAGCATCTTCCAGAGGTGGCATTGTCTTTGTTCGGTCAAATCCTTCTCTAAATCTTTGTGCATTTTTTAGTAGTTGAGTTAGCTGGTTTTGGCAATGCTTTTACTAAAGGTCCAATGTTGAAGATATGTTTGCTTTATTTCAGAAACTTTATGTTTGAGAAAACGTGCTTTGTAATCATAAATCGTCAACAAAACGTTTTATCATATACCCTTTTACATCAAGTTCCTGAGCTATCTTTGTCCCAGCAAGGCCTACACATGATAGTTCTTAATCATAAAATATAGTAAGTGAGATGTTTTTTCAGTTAATAGTTCTTGGCCAAAGACATTTGGAAAAAAACAATTTAAGCATTGTCTAAAGCGCCGTGTGTGTTTTCTTGAGTTGTGTATTTCTTATTATTTAAGTTAAATTCAAGTGTTTCAATATCTTGATACAACATTTCTATAGACATGCCCATGTCACTCGAAGTATTAGTTTTTGGAAACCTTTGTTGATCATACCTTTGCAAAAAAGCAAGAATGTTACGGTTAATTATATTTCTTTGGTTTGCGTTGTTTGCCTTTGTTTGGTTTTGGTTTCTGAGGCCGGCTTTTTCGTGACTTCTCACCTTTGTTCTGTCTCACCCTTGCAATTTTTTTCTCCCGCTCTTGTCAATATCTTTCCTTGGTGCAGACGCGCGCTGGACACGGAACGCTGCCTCGGGTCAAAAAAACGGTTAATTCCAATTCGTCGTTATGACTAATTGTATTTTAGGCGGTCTTGAGACACTGAACATAACTTCAATCAAACGATTAGGGCCAGCTTCAACTGATTGATTTAATGGCAACTGTTATATATTGTTAATGTTTGTACGTTAAAAACTGTGTTCTGCTCAACAAAAGAAACCCAAGTTAGAATTGATCACTGCTTCAAGCCGTAAGGGAACATCATCAAAAGACAAAAGAATACGACCACAAGGTGCGCTCCGCTCTTTTTTTTATGAGGCTTGGAAGTCAAGGCTTGGGGGCAAGAGGAAGACAACGCCTGTCCTTTCGCCTGCACCCCCATGCGGAGCCTGCTCAACTGCTCCCAGGTTAACAACGCGTGTTCAACCTGTTTACAGGGGTGTGAAATGCAAAAGGGTGACTTGCACTGCTCCTAGCTTGAACCCAAACATAAACCCCCAAAAGAACAAAGCAAGTCCGAAGCGGCCGCAGTTCTTTTCACCGGAATTGCTAAAAGTAGCACTGCTTCCGTGCTGCCTTGGCAGCTGTCTTGGACGCTGTCTTGGTCATGGGTGCTGCCTTGGGCTTGGGAGCGCGCTTGCCTTGGGCTTTCTCAGTATTTCGTACGCTGGCTCCGTGGGCAGGTTGGGGCCAGATTCCCAACACGCGGCTGGGCGTTGGCCAGCTGGGCGCAGCGCAGGTAAACCTCGTTGTATGCCATCATCTTACAAACTCAAGACCTGCTGCCCGCCGCGAAGCTTGGGCCGAGCATGCGGTCCACGCTGAAGGAATTCGCGGATGCAACAGGTGCAAAACGAAACGTGACGGCACATCGTGCCCAACATGGACTGCAAGCACGGATGATCGTTTCCTACATTCCTACCTCTTCGATTTGCATTTGCTCTGCTCGGAGAGATGGGTTTCATGCTGCTTGGCATATTTTTGCGGTTGATGGGAGTTTGCACAGTGGTGATACTGTTTAAAGAAAAGATGCGCAATCTCACAACCGATGGATTGGAATGGCTCAAAAGACGCTTGAGCATCGAATGAAGATTACCAGACAGGTATGCAAGCCTACACGGAATGGGATTTACAGCACATTTGCAGAGCAGGCTGTTCACTGGCAACATGCCGGCACAGATTCCGGCCAGTACCATATGCCGTGGCAGCTCAGTTTGCAGATGTGCTACAACTATGATGAAGCTGGTGAAGGAGAAATCAGTGCTTCACTATTCCTGATTGCTTGTGCAGCATGAAACCTTGAAACTGCACACATCATGCATTTGTTTCAGTAAGGGCGGGATTCGTCTCAAAGGGCATCCCAAACCCTAAAAGTTTGGTTTGCTCGCACCCCAAACCCTAAACTGATTGGGGTGCTGGAGAATTCTTTGAATTTTGGGTGGGTTATCGCACGTTTTAGATGCCTTCGGGCAGTCTGGCGCATTTTGACACCGAGCACGGTAGTAAATGTTGCTGCCAAGAAGATGGCAACTGTCGCAACGTGCGTTTCTACATGACAAGAAAGTTCTTTTCTTTGGTTGGTGGTTGTGTGTTTTGTGTGTTTTGTTTGTGGTTGAAACAAACTTTGCTTGTCATGATAGTTGTGTTCTCGCAAATTTGAAACCATTTGACTGTTTAGCATGATGTGTGGCGGAAGCTCAAGCGGGCCCGCCCACCACTCCCGGGGGTACATACACATTTGCAGAGCAGGCTGGTCACTGGCAACATGCCGGCACAGATTCCGCCAGTACCATATGCCGTGGCTCAGTTTGCAGATGTGGCTGGTGATTCGAGGAGAAATCAGTGCTTCACTATTCCTGATTGCTTGTGCAGCATGAAACCTTGAAACTGCACACATCATGCATTTGTTTCAGTAAGGGCGGGATTCGTCTCAAAGGGAGTTTGGTTTGCTCGCACCGCTCCGTTTTTGGTGCAAAAAGCGCTCAAAACGGTCAACTCCGAAAAGTTCGTTTTTTCGTGTCAGACGTAAAATGTGCTGCCTGGGCCTCCAACTTCGCTCGTTTTCGGTCGAAATCGTTCTCCAGACGTTCGCCGTGCTCTGGATTCCGTTTTCTGCCCGCTGAGCTTGTCACCGTTCGCCTCCACTTTGTCACCGCTCGCTTTTGGGTCGAAAAAGGCCCATAGAGGAGGACCTGGGGGTGAACACGGAGCGCGAGCAGGCCTACTACGACGAGTGGGACGAGGCAGCGCTGCGGGGCATCATCCAGAGGCAAGGCAAGATCACCAAGACATCCAAGAAGTTGGAAATGAAGAAACTGTACCAGGTGCTGATTATCCTGGACGACTACGCAGATAGCCCGCAGCTGCACAAGCCT